GTTCTGACCCCTGATTATCAAGATTGGGAATTGAGATACCCGGATTTGCCATTTTTCTTGTGTTTTTCCGGCTTACTCTGCCCATTTGAGATGAAAATAGCACCAGTTTTGTGCTAGAACACTATCTTAAGGCAACCATCAATCAAAGTTTGCATTTGTACAGTCAATAGTCTACAGATACAATCTAGTTCAACAGATACATCTATTCAACATCAAACAACTATATGTTAATGGGCTTCGAACTGCAGAGAAGAATTTGGAAAACCAGAAATTCTTAGGGTTAGGGAGAGATGTGGGTAAAAAATAGGAATAGATTGTTGTGGGAAGGCACAGGGAGAGTTAACTATGTCCTAATCCGAATGCAGGAAATAGGTTGGGTAGGATGCAAGTAGAGAGAGAGAGAAAAAGAAGAAAGGGAAAGGGAAATGAAAAGAGACCAGAAAAAAATAGAAACGTAAAAATTAATATTATTATGGAGATTAAAAGACCATCTATTTAGAGAGGAATGTGAGTATATTAAGAGAAGGGAAGGGACATAGAGGAGAAGTGAAAAACTTAAAAAAATGCTTAAAATATTATCTAGGTATAAAGAGGTAGTACTGCTATTAAGGAATTTAAGTCTCAGAGGTTTTGAATTGAGTAATAAATTTGTGGATTAAGTGTGTACACAACGGGAGATAGTGTCTACTAGTTAACTACGGGTTTATCTGAGGATGTGCAGGACAAGAGTTAAGTCACATAAAGAAGATCAAAAGAGAGGAAAAGGTGGAAAGGATAAGAAAGAGAGAAAAAAAAGATCAGAAGTTCAGGTAGAGCTAGACAAAAAACAAAAAGATAGTTAAGAAAGAAAGAAAAAGAGAAAGAAGACAAGAAAAGAAAGGAAAACGCACATTCACGTATTCCTAAAATAAAAATTATAAGAGAAAAAAAAGTTACTGGAAAACAATTATTTTTTCAAAAAAGGCAAAAATTAAAGATTAATAAAATTTTTAGAAAAGGAAAAAAAATTTTTATATATATAAGGTACCAAAAAAAAAAAAAGAAAAAGAAAAAAAAAAAAGAAAAGAAGAAGTAAAAAAAAAGAAAAAAGTTCTTTGATTTTTTTTTTTTTTTGATATTTTCTGGGAGGGGTGGGAAGAATCCTGTATCTCCCTTTTGTCTGTAACCAGCCTCTTGTTGGAGTCTCTGGTCGGCTTGAGGTCCTGTGGCTTGATTGGTTTCTTAAGTCAGTTTGTTCAAACAGGCAGAAAAATGCTCTGCTTTACCCAAGATTTTGAGATCCCCCCTCCCAGATTAGTTTAATGGGAGGGTGATCTGCTTTGAAAATCACAAAAGAGGGGGATGCAGTGGTGAGGCTAGGTTCTAGGTAGAGTTGAGGCCTTTCAACAATCAGTAGCTTTTCCCTGGGGCTATTTTGTGAAAAAACTCACAGAGCCCTGCCTGGAGCCATTCTCAGGGTTTCTGTTTTTCAATTGATTGTGGAGGATGCTAGAGGGAGGGGCAGCCTCTGGCTCTGGTTACCCAGTGAGGAAAGCCACTCCAATGGCTGGCACCTGAGCTGGGTGACTTTTCCCTGGATGGAGCTGAGTCTGGCAGGTCACTTCGCCGTTAAGTTCTTGTGACCTGCTAAATGACTCGTTTTATTCCAAGGCCTGGGTTTGAGCTGGCAGCTCCTCCGAGCTTTGTCAGTATCCAAGATGGAGATCACAGGTGCTAGGGGGGGAGGGGTGGCCTTCCCTCCTCTGTTCCCTGAGAAGGAGTGAGGACGTCGGGCTTCTACTCATGCCGAGTCTTGGATCCTGGGTCGTCTCTGGTCTGCAAACTGCAGGATGAAGATGTCCGCTCCCTGTCGGTTCTTGCTGGTGTTGAGTAGAATCCGCTTGCCTGCTGCGTCTGGCTCCTTCGTCCTGGACTCTCTGTGTGAGCGCTCAGGTTTGGCCCTGGCTGAGGTCTCTGCTGCGACCCTGCCACCGCCGCCGAGGCGGCTGCTGGCAAGTGCTCAGATGTGTCTTCTTGCCTTGGCTTTCCCTCTCTTGTCTAACTCTCTGTCCTGTGATGGCACACTTGGTGTGATTCTCTGGCTTAGGACTGTTCACTGGAACTCTAAAACTGCTTTCTATGCGAGAGCTTGTTCAGATTCCAGCTTCTCCTCCACCATCTTCCTGGAACCTCTGTCCAGAATCTCCCTCAGGGTTCAAAGCTAGCAAAAGGAATGTAAAGGGACTTATCATCTTGACAATGAACAGGTATAGCATTGGAAAGGATCTACAGGAAGTGGTCAGTTTAGTAGCTAAAGCCATAATCCCATGATAAGGATTAGAAATGGAGGGGAAGAACTTCTACCATAAAGATAGCAGTTCTTATAAAACTACAAATACAATGCAACCGTGGGAGTAGGTAACTGAAGAGTCATGGAGTCCTCAGAATCAGGTAGTTTACAAACTACCTGAAAAACTAAGGTTTGGAATAAACACAATGGAATGACAAATCCATGTGTCCTTACCTATCAGGATGTGATCTTGGTCAAATGTTTGACTGCAGCCAGCATTTGTTACATCTTACATAAGTGGAGCGATAAAAGTGCTTTATTTTAGTAGAATTGAATGAGGAAGTTCACACAAAGCATTTTCTCAATCCCAACAGCAACTGCAGTGCTCAATATTTCTCAATAGTAATTTAATTTAATTATTGGTAGCTTCTTGTCACTTGGATCTCAGCTTATATATTACTTCCTGGACTCAGTGCAGTCTATAGAATGTAGTTTCCTATGGAATATAGATATCTTCTGGTAACTGCATTATGTTTCTGGACCTAGTACTATCTACTGTTGTAATTTAACTGTTGAAGTAAATTCCTCCCCAACTAAATTGTTACCTTCTTTTCTTTAAAGCCATGTTTAAATTAATCTTTCTATAGATAATGAAGTGGCTGACATGAATGAGGTATAATCACACTCCTACATATTTTTTGCAAAGCAATAAGCATGAGGTCCACCTATGTTTTTTGATTTGAAGTAACTTGATTTCTGTGTGTTAATACAGTTGATTTCTAGACTACTAGTAAAAACTCTCTGAAGAAGGGCAAAAGGTAAACCACAATCACAAGAGTTTTCTGATCTCATTTTAGAGTTTTTCCACACAAACAAGTGCACAGTTCTCAATTTACTGTTTTGTTTGGGAGAACAAAGGAGTGAGTCATTGCCTGGAGGCTATCTGGAGTTTAGCAACTGAGCAAATGCAAACCTGTTGCTCAGAAAACGAACCTTGTTTTTGAGGCCTTCATGTTTGTATAAATAATTTTTTTTTGCCATAGTGTCAAACTATGACTTTAATCATAAGGAATTATATTTGACTTTACTTCTGTAACTAATCATGGCTAATGGAATTGAGGCTTATAAATTCTCCTATTGAGACCAGAAGAACTTTCTAAACTTTTTCAGTCTTTTATTTGTCCTCACCTTAGTACAGTGTAGATAATTTTCATTGCTTATCCCAGTCACAGCATCGTCTTATCATCTTGTCCTTTGAAGTCCATTCTTATTTGGACTCATGACCTTTTTATGTTACTTTAGTTGTCCCTAATTATATGGAAAGAGAGCTTATGTGACACATTGTAAACACTCAGTATCTGAATTTGATACTTCCTTACAAGAGTATCTGAATTCAGTATCTGAATTTGATACTTCCTTACAAGGTAACTTCCTTTGTAAGAATGGTTTGATGTTAATGACAATAACATTCTGTTACTTGTAGAAAAGCAGTGTTTGATGCAGGGTAATTTCCAAACATAATGATCACTCTCACTTCGGAATAATTTGATTCTAAGACTGATCCTTCCTTGCTTCCTTCCTCTCTCCCTCCTTTCCTCCCTTCCTTCCTGTCTCTTGCCCTTTGTTATTTTTTCCTTCCTTTTCCTTTTTCCTTTTCCTTCCTTCCTTTTGCTCCTTTCCTTCTTCCCCCCTCCCTTTCTTGCTTCCTTTCTTTACTATTAAAGATTGAACTCAGGGCTCCATGTTCTGTACCATACCCAACCCCTCACTCCTTTTTAGCTGGTTATCTTTCAAATAGGGGATCACTTTTTGCATGTGCTGGCCTGGCCTATGATCCCTCTGTATACATTTCCTTTGTACTTGGAATGAAAGCCATATGCCACCATGCTGAACATCTTTTTGTCTGACTGGCTTCAAACTTGGATCTTCCAGACTTTGGCCTGCTAAACAACAAAGATCACATGTGTGAGTCATCATGCCCAACAAATTATATTTAAATATTAAGTCTCACTGATTTTGTCAGGACTGACCACGAACTCATGATTCTACTGTTTCTGTCTCCTGAGTAGCTGAGATTATAGGTGGTTCACCAATGCTAGTTGTAAACCACAATAGTTCATTTCAGTTTGAGGTGAGCATTTCAAAATTATCTCAACATTATCTGTTGTATAATATAATGTTACGTTATGTGACATTATAAGTGTAACTTCTAAATATCCTATCTATGAACACTTAACTGGGAATCCTTCAAATGAACTTCCAAATATTGTATTGTACTGATGGTTCTGTTATCAATGCTTATGTTATTATTATTGGTTTTTATTATAATAAAATTTTGTGTAAAATGTTACATGATGCATCTACTGGTTTTCTAATATTCTGATACATTTTAAATTACTGACATTTCTTCTGCTGAACAAAGCACCAAGGTCTTTTTTAGAGTAACACATTGTTTTTCTTCACAATGTCTTGTATTTTAATGACAGGCAGAACTATACATATTTTTCTTTTTAGAGATAGTCTAAAAGAGATAAATATTTCTTTAAAATTGTTTTCATTTAATTTGATTAAGTTCACAGAGAGAGACTCATTTTGTAGGTTGATTGCTTATGAAATTTAATATTGATAACTTTCTATTTCAATGATATTAGTGATTCTTGTTTTTTGAGATGCCACAGATCCCATTTTGACAAGAATTTACTTTTTAATGTATCATACATTTTATTCTCAGGATCTAGCACGTGAATTGGAGAACAAAGAAAAACAACAGCTGCAGATGTTGGATCGACTTAAGGAGATCGAGAGTCACTTTGATACATGTGAGGCTGAGCGTAAGCATGCTGACCTCCAGATCTCAGAGCTGACTCACCACGCTGAGGATGCAACTAAGCAGGCCGAGCAGTACCTCAGTGAGTGCCAGCAGGCAGAGGCCCTGAGAGAGGAAGCAGAGAAGAGGCGAGAAGACCTGAAAATGAAAGCTCAAGAAACCATTAGGCAATGGAAGCTTAAGTATAAGAAGTTAGAGCGAGCAATGGAAAAACAATCTGAAACTCTCGATCAACTGACTGATAAGAATAATCAGGTATAAAAGCCAGATTCTTAAGATTTTTTTTTCTAAAATGAATCATTGGTGTATCTATATGTTCAACAAATATTTGTGAGCAATGCTATGCATATAATCTATCAGTAGTATATCATTTAGATAAGGGCCTTTATATCTTGGCTTTTCCAGTAAAAGTGATATAATGATTTTTTTGTTGTTGTTGTTGTTGCTATTTTTTTCCCTGCTGTTTTCAAAACTCTGTGTGTGTGTGTGTGTGTGTGTGTGTGTGTGTGTGCGCGCGCGCAAGCGCATGCGCGTGCGCTGAGTCTTGGACTTGGCCTGGGCACTGTCCATACCATCCCTGAGTTTTTTTCGCTTCAGGCTAGTGCTCTACCACTTGAACTACCACTTCACTTTTGGCTTGGTGGTTAATTGGAGATAAGAGTCTCATAGATTTTACTACCGGGGCTGGCTATAAACTGTGATCCTCAGATATTAGTCTATTGAGTTGCTAGGATTACAGGTGTTTCCAGTGGTACCTGCCATCAAATCCTTTTTAATTTCTTGACATTCTATGTGTTTCAGAATTGGAGAGCCATCTTCTGCTTCAATTACAATATTCAAATGGAAGAAAATCACCAAGTCTTCCTAAAAATCATATGACTTTTCTCCCAGTGCATGTATTTAAATCTCATTTATTTGTCCTCTTCAACTTAAGAATTGGTGAGAAAAGGAAATTTAAGAATGAAAGTTGGTCTGGGAAGGTGGCTCAGTGGTAGAGTGCTTGCTTTGCATGCATGAGGCCCTGGGTTCGATTCCTTAGCACCACATAAGCAGAAAAAGCCAGAAGTGGTGCTGTGGCTCCAGTGGTAGAGTGCTAGCCTTGAGCTGAAGAGCTGAGGGACAGCGCTCAGGCTCCATACCCACCCCGTCCAAAAAAAAAAAAAGCAAGTTATCACCAGGCTGTTTTCTGGCAGTGATGATAATAGGCTTAATGAAGTGGCTGACATTGACAGTCTCACTGACTATGTTAACAGGTCACAAGTCCCTTCTTGACTCTGCTTTTATGGCCTGAGATAGCAACACAAAATGTCTTTGTATTCATTTCCACAGTTTCTTTCCTCTTGTGTGATTGGTTACTTTAAAAGGAGTTGATGCTCCCCATGATGCAGAACTGTTATATTTGAATTGAATTAAATCCAGATGTTTATAAACAACTGGATAATAAACAGCAAATTCACGATTGAGTTTTGTCCCTGTTGTCTTGTGTTGGTTTCTCATTTGTGCTTTGTCATTTGTCACTGTCAAGATTGTTAAACATTCCAGAAGAGTCATCATTTGGATAAGTTGAGTTTCTTTCAAAAGAAAAAAAAGTAGGATAGCTATATTTATAAAATCAGTTGACGGTTTTAAAAGTGACAGACGCTCATTTCAAAAGAGATGTCATGGAAAAGATGCTTTTTATGTATGAATTTCTTAGACAGAGAATGAAGGCAGTGATCACTTGGCCCTCAGTGTTGAGGGCTTTTCCTTTTGAGTGACTGGTTGCTCTGAGTTAAAGCAGTTCTAAGGCTTTCAGACTTGATTCTGCACTGGTTTAGTCCAAGGTAATTGCTCTACCTTCATTATTCTCTTGTCAGCCCAGTCTGGCAACTGGTGCAATGAGTCCAAAGTAAGGGAGCTTACAAGAAGAGAGGTTGAGATGCAGAGATTTGGCTTAATTAGAGGAAATTTAGAAAGGTCTGTGTCATTCGGCAGTATACCAATTTATGGCATGGTGTTGCAAGTTTTTTTGGACTGAGTTTTCAGAGTATTAGAAATTGTTAAACAATCATTTCCTCAAATACTTCTGACATAATTATTTTTATCATTTAGCATTGCTAATGATAAGCAAAGAAGTAGTTTTGGAGTGATTACCATAGTTAGGATAGTATCACAATTATCACAGCAGGCATTGTAATTTCTCCTTTAAAAGCCTTAAAAATTAATGCAGCATATCGTAGTTAGAACCATGGTTAATCAAGGAAGAAAGGGTAAGAAATGTTTCATCGCAGATTCAAGTGTCCAGTACATCTATGATGTAGAAATACATGCCGAAAAATGTTGGAAGGAAATAGTTTTTAACCATCCTATTGAATATCACCTGTAAGGAATATTTAATTCTCAAAAAAACCCACAAAGCCATCTTATTGCATAAATAATACCATTAGTCTTTTTTTTCGGCTAATTTTTTAACTTCCAAAAACTGACTCTAGGGAATATTTGGAAGTGTACATTAAAATGAAAATGATACTCGTTTATAAATACATCATGTTGTGGTTTAAGAAATGAGTTAATGATTAAGTAATTGTCTTACCTGAACTATACATAAAATGAAGTATATTATATGGTTAGGTGATACAGTCTTCATCTTTGCACAATGATTTTGTGCCTGTATCCATTTCTCTTTCTTTAGGCATAATTTATTTTCTGCTTTAAAATTTGCAGCATAAAATATTCAAATCCTAAATTATTTTAATGCCTTAAATTTGCTTTTTAAAAATCTTCCTTGCTTGATATAGCACTAGAATCTTGTGAAGATGTTACACAACTACTCTATAATAAGGGATATGTAAGACCAAACAAATAGCATAAAATTACAGAAATATCCAGAAGTATTTGGTTATTTTCTTTCCTTAAAGAACAATGATATGGCTATTTATATTAGGGAACCATGATGTTTTTTAGGAATATGTAGGTGAACACATATGGGAAGACCTAGAACAGTATAGATACAATCTACTTGTCAGTTGTAATGTTTCTCTCTCTCTCTCTGTCTCTTTCTCTCTCTCTCACTGTGTCTCTTTTAAAGTATTTGAAATAATTGCTTTGCCTTTGTGCTTTGAAAATGATAAAGGAGCAATTTTGAACTTCGACTCTGATGACAGTATGTGCTTTTCTGAATGTTTTAAGTTCTTTTATATTCTTTTTAACATGGACAATGCTTTTCCATATTTTCTATTTCTTGCTGAGTTGGCAGACATACTGGCAGAATTTATATAGCTTGCCCATGTATTGAGTGTTTTGCTTGATAGTATTTGACTTTAAGAATCTTAAATTGCCATCTTTTCCTTCTATGTATTTCCCTCCTGCTGAGAACAAAGTTATATGTTGCTTTGTAAGAAATGAATTTTTAATAGTTTAAGGTAAGAAGAACTGGTACAAAAGTACTACTTTTGTGAATACATGTGCATCCTATTGACAGCAATTCAAGAAAAGCATTTTCTGCATTTTTTTCAAATGAAGTAAAATTGCATTTGAAAGTCTCATGATTTGCCTTTTAGCTCAATTAAAACAACTGTGCATATTTGTGATTAGTCTTTGAGGAGTTATCTTTTGTTCCTATACTACTATGGTTTTGTAGTGCCATTTCTTCTGTCTGTTGTAAGTAGCCATTCTCAGACCTCATTTTTACAGCCTTTCTTTATCTACCTTTCTTGGAAGCTGTGTTTGTGAGGTTAGAACACTCTTTTCCCATTTCTGTTCTTTAGATTGGTTTATTTTTCCATTATGTCTCCAAATTTCCCAAGGATTTTGGCATCGTTCTTTCCCTTACTCAGAATTCTTGCTATCATTCTTAGTGATTTCAAACCTCTAGCAAGCAACCTATTCAACTCAATATCCTTATTCTTCACTGATTTCCTTTCTTTTTTTCTTTTTGTCAGTCGTGGGGCCTGAACTCTGGGCCTGGACGCTGTCCCTCAGCTCTTCAGCTCAAGGCTAGCACTCCACCACTGGAGCCACAGCGCCACTTATGGCTTTTTTTTTTTTTTTCTTATGTGGTGCTGAGGAATCTAACCCAGGACCTTGCGCATGCAAGGCAAGTGCTCTACCACTGAGCCAACTTCCCAGCCCCTACTTTCATTTTTTACAGTACTGTCACTCTATTACATCAACTAATTTTGAATTAAGATTGAAAACGAAGTCTTAAATCTCTGATCTTGAATTCTTTCATACCATTTTCCTTTTGCAACAGTTTATGCATAATTTTGACTTTTCCATATTCCTCTGGCTGACCAGCCATTTCCTGCATTCAGTCATGGGTTGGACATTAAAAATTACTTTGACTCACTCTTTAATTTCTTCCTTCCACCTCAAATATTTTATTGATTCACAATCTGGAATCAACTATCTCTCCATTCCTCCTCCTTAGTAAGTGCCAACAAAACTTCTATTGAGCCAGTACCAGTGAGCTCACACCTGTAATCCTAGTTACTCAGGAGGCTGAGATCTGAAAATGGAGGTTTGAATCCAGCAGGGCAGGAAATGTGTATGATTACTCTCCAGTTAATCACAAAAAGTGGAAAATGTTCCACAAAAAGTAGATATGTGCCTCAAGTGGTAGGCTGATAGCCTTGACTAAAAGAGCTCTGGGCTAGCATTGAGGCCTTGAGTTCAAGCACTAGTACCTGTACAAAACAAGCAATAGAAAAAAATAAAAAATCCCTAAAACTCCCATGGAAATGTAACTTGTCTTCCAAAGTGGTTAAAGTTATCTTCCGTTGCCCTCATGCATTGCACTGAATTATTAATGTACACTACTCATTTGGCAAAAACTCCTGACCTGGTCAGTGAGTAATGAAGGGTAAAGTTGATTTGGGAGCTTGGTGTAAGCATTAGCTTCTAAAGAAGATATACTAGAAGAGAGATTTTCTTCCTTGTTTGGCTATTGTTTCATCTACTTTAGCTGGAATGGCTGTCTTCTAGAAGTAAAGCATCTAAAGAGGAGCATACCGCTGAGTAGACTGTGGAGTCAGGGAGCTAGAGCCTTCACCTCCTGAGTCTGAACAGCTCTGGCTGTACTAAGAACACATTTCCTCGTGGTTTTAGGATATTTGCCTTTTTTTGGGAGTGATAGACTTACTGTGTTTTATCATTATTAATGGTTATCGTAAGGTATAAAAAAGAAAATAACCTTATATATTTGCATTTTAATTCATTTCTGATTTTGAAATGAATTTATTTTCTGGCTGATGACATTGTGGATACATGTTTCAAAATATCACATTGCAACACATAGATAGGCATGGTATTTGTCAATAAAAGGAAAATAAAGTTTAAAAAGGCATGGTGCCCATCAACAAGTAAATATGGAGATTATCCTTGGTTTCAATGATATGGAGAAAACACTTTGGTTACATTGGCTGCCTGCATTGTTTTGTTTTCAGGGATGTAATGGTAAGAACTGGAGACGATGATGGTTTATTCTTTGCCTCTGTCCTTCATAGTAATCCTTAATCTGGGGCAGAGAGTGATGAGCCTCTCTCTAGTTCATCTCTTGTTCTCTTGACTGTCTTCCCAATCTATCCTAATTTTCAGTTGTTCTAATTTTTACCATTTAGGGACTCAAGGCTTCCAGTTGTGTATGGCTATATTTCTCTTCAATACTGGTGTTATTAATGTTATACACATTTTACATATTATCACATTTCTTAACTTGTATCTGTATGCTTCCTTATGATATTTTCCACATGCTTCAAGCTTTCTCTGTTTTAAGAATATCATTAGACTGTACATTATTATTTTCAGTAATGATTTATTATTTCTACTCTACTAAATTATAATAGTTTTTCTTATATTCCTGTGATAAATTTTATCATGTAATTGAGCCATTACTTGTAATCATGGGCTGATATATTCTGATGTTAAAAATCTAAAATACGCATTTCAGTGTGGTATATTTTTTCCTTTCTAGTTTAATTATGTACATGTAAATACATATATAATTTAAAATGGGAAAATACAAAGTCTGATTTGATCAAATGTTCTTCTCCTTTTATAGTAGAACTTATTTGTAAAGGCTGTGATGAACTTTACAGTTTTTTAAATTCTTAATCCTAGATTCTAAAAGAAAAGGATGACTTGAAAAATCAGCTTTATGTAGCATTACAACAAATAGAGAAGCTTAGAAAGGAACTGAATGATGTTTTGACCAAGCGTGCCCACCAAGAGGAAGAGCTTCACTCTAAGGAGAAGAAGCTAAGTGATATTCAGTCTCGTCAAACTGACCTTGAAGTAGAAGTCAAGAGTTCCCTGGATACCATCCATAGACTAGAAAGTGAATTGAAAAGGCAGAATAAGACTCAAAACCAGATTAAAGTTGAGAAAGCTCACCTAGAGGAAGAAGTTACAAAACTAAGGAGGAGCCAGGCTGAGGATAAAGCAAAACTTCTTGAGATGCAAGAGTCCATCAAAGACTTGAGTGCCATCCGAGCAGATCTTGCTAATAAATTGGCTGACGAAGAGAGAGCCAAGAAAGCCGTGCTTAAGGACCTCTCTGACCTCACTTCTCAGACAAAATCCCGAGATGAAGAAACCTCTACTGTCATCAATCAGTTAAAGCTAGAACGAGATGTTCACCAGAGGGAACTGGAAGATCTCACCTCATCACTGCAGAGTGTGAAAATTAAACATGAGCAAAATATCCAGGAGCTGATGAAACATTTTAAGAAAGAAAAGAGTGAAGCAGAGAATCACATTAGGACACTGAAGGTACTGGTGCTGTATTATCTTGATGATATTGAAGGAATTTTTCCATGGCTCACAAAGTTAATAAAGCGTAAACTTTTAGAGATCATTTTGTGTTCCCAAGTACTGAAGGAAAGATAAAACCAGCAGTAAACAGGTTTATTCATGCTTGTTTGGCCAGGTTGGAATGTGTTATAGCAGCTCCCCTGGGAAGCCCTTTACAAAGAACATTTAGCTATTTTGGGAGTTAAGGAAAGCTAGAGGTGGCACTAAATCATGGACCTGAAGCGTTCCCTCATCCAACATTTATGACTCCCTAAAATATAAAAGTCAAACACTTGTTAGGGCCATAGAAGCTCTGACCATAGTCCTTCCTGGTATAGTAACTAAACTGGATCAGCTTATTGGTTGTGTAATCCCAAGGCTTTTTGAAATTTACTCTTTTTGTTTCATATCCAAGTTGCCTGGGGTAAATGCTTGAGCTGTCACTTTGGGAAAGCATTTCTAAGCTCTAATGATGTTAGTATTATTGCCATGCAAGCTCAGTCAGTCATGTGACATGATTGTCAGGACTGTGAGGGATCTATTCCTCTTCCTTGTTTTTTCCATAAAATTTATCATAAAATGTAGATTCCATACTGATTTTTATGTCCTTGGTTATTAGAAAATTCTATGAGGATTGGAGTTTCAGTATGATACGTTTATAGCTATTTCCCTAGGACTTCAAATAGTTTCTGAAATGTTGTAAATACATAGGTGAAAACCATGGGTAAATCTTTAAATGTTAATAATATCATTTCAAAAATCTTTGAAATGCAACTACTACTTTTAAAATACTTAAGAAGAGGAAATTATATTGAAATAGCTGACAACACCTATTTCATGAGGTCTTTTCCCGCCTAGCTTTTTGGCAGTAGTGGATTTGGGGCCATTAACTGGGTAGCAATTAGAATGGAGTCTAGAAAAGGAAGGGGACCTTGTTGATAGTATCTGTTTTAAGATGCATCCTTATTATAAAACAAAAAAAAAAAATACTGCCTCCTCTTACCTATGAAACTTTGACATATCAACTATAAGAAAACATTCCCAAGTGAGACTTGGTAAGATATAAAAAACCACACATTTTAATAATGATTAAATGTAACAGTCTTTCAGAGTTGTAGAGCTCTATAAACAGAAGTAGAATTAGGAATATGAAGAGCTGCTCTTTGTGTATGTGTGTGTGCCAGTCCTTAGGGCTTGAATTCAGGGCCTAGGCACTGTCTCTGAGCTTTTTTTTCCCCTCAAGGCGGGTGCTCTACAACTTGAGCCACAGCTCCCCTTTGGGCTTTTTTGGTGGTTAATTGGAGATAAGAATTTTTTTTTTTTGGTTGGTCCTGGGACTTGAACTCTGGGCCTGGGCGCTGTCCCTGCTCTCTTCAGCTCAAGGTGAGCACTCTACCGCTTGAGCCACAACGCCACTTCCAGTGTTCTAGTAGTTTATTGGAGATAAGAGTCTCATGGAATTGCCTGCCCAGGCTGGCTTTGAACTGTGATCCTCAGATCTCAGCCTCCTGAGTAGCTAGGATTATAGGCGTGAGCCACTGGCGCCCAGCTGGAGATAAGAATTTTATGGACTTTCCTGCCCTAGCTGGCTTCAGACTATGATCCTCAGATCTCAGCCTTCTGAGTAGGTAGGCATGAACTACTGGAGTCCAACAAGAGCACATCTTAAAGAAAGTAAAATACATGTTATGTAGTCATTGCTGGGCTATGACAATGATAATACTTTTATGGATCTGCTGGTTGTAATAGCTCTCAGCTAAGGTTGGAATAGCTTTTTTTTTATTCTTTGTGTTTTTACAGCTTTTAGTTGGTTTCTGGTTCATCTAGGATAATACCTTTTGACTGCTTTATGTTTTGACCTGTTAGATATTCATCTCTAGACAAACACTATCAGATCTTAGCCATTTTTGTGTCTTCTTATGATATCTAGTGATCTAGTGTAATGTTCCACACATGTATGAAGATCTTAATGGAATGTCGGGTTGTAATGTTTCAAAGCTGGAAAGAAGAGGTATTGCTCTTGATGTACTTTGGTATCTGTTTAGTTTTAATTTCTCCATGTATCATGGTTGACTTGATTTCCTTGTCCATTTCTTAGGAAATGCTTTCACATCATTTATGATGTAACAAAAAAGTTTTAGGATATTGCTCAGGTATAAAGAATATCAATTTACAGCTATTCTGTGGCTCTTTTGAAACCCTTTGATTTTGTATTTTTGTTTATGTTTTGGGCTTCTGAGGGCTGGGAGGATTGTTGTGCTGTTCTTTAATGTGTGGTATAGCAGTGGCCCTGGAGCTGTAAAGAGAACCAGAAATGGTGAGAACTAAGCCATGTCCATTTTTAAAACCAAGTAGGTTTCCCAAAAGGAATAGCCACTACTTTGTTATTTTATTAATGTCTCCTACACTTTTACTTATTTATTTATACTAAGTAAAAAGAATTGGTAGCAAAAAGTCCACAAAGATTTAATGTATTATTTTACTGAATTATGCACAGTAGGATTTGGACAAGTAGCTCTATGAATATTACATTTCCACCCCGTCTTTTTTAGCTTCCTTCAGCTTATTATTTTTTAAGTCTAGTAAGAGTCTAATACATCACCCATATTTTTTCTCTGTACAAAGTAGTCTTTTCCCTTCCATCTAGAATCACCTTTCTTATACTTATTTTTAAATTTAAATCTAAAATACTTACTGACATGCTGTAGGTACTAGTAATGGTTTCAGGATATTAAGTTGTTACCTTATTATAGAGCTTTTTTATTAGAATCAAATGATTCAGAATAGGAGTTGAATATTTTTACTCTTTATTGGCATAAATAATTTTGGTCAAGTTGCTTCACATTTTTATGTGTTATCAACACAATAGGAATGAATAGTAAAGTTTTCTCTTTTACTGGATTGTTGTGAACACATTACATTGTATACCCAAAAAGGAAATGTGTGTTCTATAGCATAATAGTTCACAATAGTAGGTGAGTACTTAGGCAAATTAGGAGTTGATATGCCTATTAATATTTATAAGCAAATTGTCTAGGTGGAAAGCACTGATGTGTAGAGTTTGCCAGGTGCTGTGGTGGAAATATCCCATCTGGGCTGATAGAAATTTAGGCATCCTGGGACAGGGGCACAGTTGGAAGGAGAAGAGGAGCACATTTTGTTCCTGAGCATCTCTGTTAACTTTGGCAAAAAATCTTACTCACCTATGCTTTTCACAGGACATAAAGAAAACTAAAAGCATTCTACTGCAACTTAAAAATCGTAATTGAGCAATTTTCCTGATGAGAGACTTTATTTTGTGAATTTATTTTTGGGCTGTGAATACAGGATTGCCCATAAAAAAATCAATTCCTTTGTTAATTCAAAGTGGCATCAGTTCTTAGGCGAATTTTGTGGAGTAAATAAAATATAGATTTTTTTTTTCTCAAACTCACAAAACTTCCTTCTAGGAAGTTGTTTCCAATGATTGTGCCTTTATACACCTAATTAATCCCATAGAATAGACTTATAAAAATAGAGGCATGGCTGAGCTATATAGCTTGGTGGTAGACTGCTTGCCTAGTGTGTGCATAGCAGAGAGTACAAACCTTATCACTGCAAGAGGAAAAGACGGAAGAAGAAAAAGAAAACCACCAGGTCCATGTAGCTACCTTTTAGGCATATATTATATATTATTAATATATAATTATATAGTTATTTATATATATATTAAACTGGTTATAGGTGTTTGTTTGCGGATTTTAGTAACTCGGAGGTGTGCTTAGTTAGGATGGGGTTCAAAATCTCCTTATAGCATCCATTTTGAGAGGCAGAGCGATAAGTAGTTGAAAACACAGATGTTAGAATGAATTTTGTGCCTCCTTGGCCATGGTGCCTTGAGGGTGAAATGTGGTGAAACTCTATGGAAAGGTCTTAGAGCAATATTTGCACATAATGTTTATATTGCTGGTATGAAATTCTTTAAGATCCCATATCTGGAACATATTATTAAGTCTCATAAACAATAGATTATTCCCACTGTTTGTTTTTAAAGCCAATTTTGGTTACTTTCAAATTAAGATTTATTATGCCCTTGATGCTGAAATATATTTTCATATTGTTTGAACTTTTCATGTTTATTGTAAGGCCTAATCTTTTTAGCCCCAAAGAGTAGTCTCAAATAATTACATTACACAAAAAAGCGAAATTAAGCCTGGCACTGGTGGCTCATGCCTGTAATCCTAGCTACTCAGGAGGCTGAGATCTGAGGTTCGAGGTTCAAAGCTAGCCCAGACAGGAAAGTCCATGAGACTCTTATCTCCAATAAACCATTCAGAAAACGAAAATGGCGCCATGGCTCAAGTGGTAGGGCATTAGCCTTGAGCTGAAGAGCTGAGGGACAGCACTGAGGCCCAGAGTTCAAGCCCCATGACTGACACAAAAAAACAACCAAAAAAGCGAAATTTGAGGAATTAGAAAGAACTGGAATTTTCAGATTGTTTATGGATGAGGGAATTGATCAGTCTGGAGTACCATTTTATAGCTTGTCCCTTTTGGAAGATTTCTTTTTGGTTGTGGGGCTTGAACTCTGGGCCTGGGCGATGTCCCTCAGCTCTTCAGCTCAAGGCGAGTGTTCTACCACTTAAGCCACACAGTGTCACTTGGAGTTTTCTGGTGGTTTACTGGAGATAAGAATCTCACGGATGTTCCTGCCCAGGCTGGCTTTGAACCATGATCCTCAGATCTTAGCCTCCTGAGTAGCTAGGATTACAGGCGTGAGCCACCGGCACCCAGCTTGGAACATTTCTTTTCCCTGGCTATTGTCACCATCCCTCCTTGTGATTGCAGAATGCCCCAAAGCCTTTATCATTATCCAGCTCATCTCATCTCATTTATTTCTATCAAGTCATTGCTTCTACCTCATTTGCTACTGTAGCACCCAGTGTAGTATAGTAACTGTTTCTTGTGAATGTTCGTATGTTCTGGTGATGAAAGGAATTCACAGAATCTGTAAATTTTAACTTCTGCTTATGAATACATTGAGAGAGCTAATGTTTTGAAATATTTCCCCACTGATATAATATGTAGTATGTTTGGTTTAATTTGACGATAGCCAGTGGGCTTTTTCTCTTTTTCCTTGTCTTTATCCCAGGCAGAGAGCTTAGAAGATAAGAATATTGCTAAAGTTCATCGTTGCCAACTAGAGAAGTTGAAATCACAGTGTGAAAGACTCACAGAGGAATTATCCCAGAATGAAAATGAGAACAAAAAACTCAAGCTAAAGTACCAGTGCTTGAAGGAGCAATTAGAAGAAAAGGTAAAAATATGAATGAGTTCTATTTTAAAAGACTTAATGTCTTTTTTGTTGTTGTTGTTGTTTCTTTTTTTTTTTGTCTTCTTCTTTTGGGGATTGAAGTTGCGTTTGATAAGCAAGTAATTTGCCACTGAGCTACATCTTTGACTTACTTTGAGAGACATTTAAGATTTTTCAATAGTATATTTTTCTTTTAGTTGCTTTTATTTTTTGTTTATGTGGTATGGAGGAATTGATCTCAGGGCCTCATGCATGTTAGGCAAGCACTCTACCACTGAGCCCACATTCCCTGTCCCCAAAGACATTTTACATATTCTATACTAATAAATGGTAACTTTCATAGGAATGTTATATGCTATCAGAACAAAGATGACTTATTAATCACAATGCTGTGATTTTCTAATTTTTTCAATAAAGTTCCTGTTGCATTTCCCTTTTTCTTTTCCAGTGTCTTAAGGTAGGAATTTAGAGACAAAGTACAAAAAAAGGTTTGATGGTTTGCTGAGACCTTTGTATGTATCACGCATTTATGCCAACTCCTGTATGTATGTCAACTCATTTAATTTACACAACTGTTTGGATTAGAACCTGTTTCTAGCCTGTGTAAATTGCTGTACGAGAACGCTGCAGACTATGAATGGCATCTAAACCACAGAGTTTCTCATTGTCTAGGAGGTTGTGGGGTCTAGGACCAGGTACTGTGAGATTGAGGGTCTGAGGGGGTCAGATGGTGTCTTCTCACTGTGTCCTCCCACTGTAGAAGGGACAAGGGAGCTGCCTATGTTCCTTTTTACAAACATTGATCCCATTTGTGACAATTCCACTCTTGAGACCTCACCATCTTCTAGAAGCTTCACCTCATCCCCGAGTACTACCACATTGCAATATTATATTTCTGTGTATAAATATGTGGGTGACACATCTATGGCTGATCTATGTGGAAACCACAGTTTAAAATAATGATTAAATGCTCATTCTATACTAATCTGCATAGTAATTTTAAAAAATTTCATAAGTGGGTTGTAGCTTTGTCCATCTCTACATACCACTTTTGTTTTCAGTAGAAAGAGATATACTTTAACTAATGTTTATTATCTTGGGTGGAGTAATCCAGATTTACTACTTTTGGGGCTCTTTGTATCAAAAAATCAACTAATATATGAAGTTTCATTTCCTGTATTATTTTTGTACTTATCTTGAGCACCTTATCCTATGTCAATGATGTTTAATTGAGATATATGGGATAAGAATCATGAGCATAATCAGTGACTAATAGATATTATTATGTTTCCAAATGCATACTGATTAATGATCTAACCATTCAGTCAAATATTAGTAAATATTTTTAGACTGTACATTGTTTGCTTATAGTGTTTACTGCTACTGATCCACATAACAAGAGAGTGTAGCATTTTGCTGATGTTTATGTCAAACTTTGACTTTGTTTGAGACATATGGCATATTAGTGGCCGCCATGTGATAGCGCTGGCAGATCTTGTAGTCCGTCAACAGTGTGATATTGAAGATATAAGTTCTAAGCCCATCACTGTTAGACAGTTTCCTAGGATGCTTGCTAGTTGAGAAGAGGTACCACATCTTGTCCATTTTTGTAGCTCAAAATCAGAGACAGCGCCTGACACATAACTTATAACCAAATTATAAAGAGGCATGCGTATGTACACATATGCGCATACACACACACACACACACACACACACACACACACACACACACACACACACACACACACGTAAGTTGGCTGTAGGAAATAAAAATTGAAAAAGAGACAACAAAAATATGTTTCCAGACAAGAAAAGTCCAAGATTACTATTTAAGCAAAGTAATGAACTTCCTAAATGCAAGCTATACATATTGAAGGAGATTTACACTGTGTTAATAACCTAATGGGAAGCTTTAGTGTTTGTTGAGCAAAGTTATGTTCTTTTTTTTTTTTTTTCCGGTTGGTCATGGGGCTTGAACTCTGGGCCTGGGTGCTGTCCCTGAGCTGTTCAGCTCAAGGTAAGCACTCTACCACTTGAGCTCCAGTGTCACTTCTGGTTTTCTGGTGTTAATTGGAGATAAGAATCTCAAGACCTTTCCTGCCCAGGCTGACTTTGAACCATGATCATCAGATTTCAGCCTCCTGATTAGCTAGGATTACGGCATGAGCCACCAGCGCCCAGCTAAAGTGATATTCTTAATCACCCATCCTCAGTGTGAATATGTAATGTTGTTATTTCTTATACCTTGAAAAATTTTTTGCTATTCTTTTTTTTGTGGCTTTCTTTACAGCTATGCTTCTTGTCGTGTTATATTACTTGATAAGGTAAGGAATGTTTAAATTCCATGAAGATTCTTATATAGTTAGGACTGTGGTATTATTAATCAGTAGTAGAAGATTTCTGTTAGCACATAAGCACAGAATATCTAAATTTGCCATATTTCCCTATGATAATAAAATACATTTTTCCTAACATCTGATTTTGCTTTGACAAATATTATTTTTCTGTTTTACATGACAAAGAGAATAAGGATTATGTAACCAACAGAATTTTTACATTTGCATTAGGACTTTATTATGAGCTTCTTACCAGTAAAAAAACTTTTTTGAAATGTTACAGAAATAATTTTTCCTATGTATAGTATTGTAAAAGTTTATTATTCTTTTTGCTTAAGTTTTATAGGAAAATATTTTATTTCCTCCTTTGTCCCAAAAGAATCCTGTTGATATTAATCTTTTGATTCTCTCAGCATTTACATGGAAACTTGTACTCTAGTCTCTGAGAAGCATTTTTATTGCTTTAACTGAATATGTAACTCAACAAGAGTTAGTAAATAATGAAATCAACTTTGTTAAATTAGGAGGCTTGTATAGTGCAAGTCTTTAAAAGTTTGTATAGTGCAAGTTTTTAACGTCTGATTTATATAGATCTGTATCTGAGCTAAGTTTTAAAAAAATGTTCATATTTCAGAGCTGGGCATCATGTCTACAGGTGTAACCTTATCTTTTTAGAGACTGAGGCAATGAAGAGATTGAGTTTCAGGCTGGCCATGGCTACAAAGTGAGACCCTGTCTCAAAATTTTTTTTATTGTGATAAGTAGAGGTTTATTAATGATCCTATATTGTAGTGATTTTAAGTAATGTTATAGTAGATTTATTGAAGATTGATTTTAATTTTGATTATAATTGCATAATATTTGAAATAATTTGTTGTTAGAGTTAAGAAATCATTGTTTCATACATTATTGTACTTATACTGTCATTGTCAGTATTCCTTTGGCTTTATGAGAAAGATGGCCATATTGTGAAATAATACATAAGTCCAATAATACCTAAGTCCAACAAAACTTAAGAAAAATGTTGGTTTTCCGCTGTTGGTAAAATAAACTTGTTGATAGTGTTCATTTTCCTTATATAAGAAAATGAGAAATTTATGTATAGGAATATATTTTTCAGTATATTCTAACCAGAATTATGAAAACATGCTTCTTGCTTGTTACCTGGAAGAAGTCGGAGATGTTGCAACCTTCACTTTAGGTTTCCCCTTTAATGTCTATCCATTATCACATCATTTGTGTAACTTTCCTGTGTCACAGGAGAAGCTGTTGTATGGTCACCATAATTTTCAGTTACCTAGCCTTCACAGTGTTGAAAAATTCTTGAATTCTTGAATTCTTGAAAGTCTTCAACTTTTTCTACTCCACCGAAGACTGGGTGCTAGTTTTGGTTTCACAAGTCTTGTTTTGGAATTCATAAGGTAGCACTGGGTTAGTGAAGCAAGTGATTTTGATTGTTCTAACCACTTGATCCTTGTAATTGTGAAATATAAAAGGACTCTGAACAACATTGATTCCCAACATCTTATGTTATAGAGAAGTCTGTCCCAGAGAGTTAAATTGACTTGCCCAAGAACTGTAGCTGCCCCTTGGTAGAAATGGAAGTAAGACTCAAGGTTGCCAAGTCCATTCTTTCCATTGTACCAGACTTTGTAGGAACCAAGTTGTACTAGCATATAGATCTTGTAGGTTATTTGAGATGCTCGGTTACTTAGTACTTGTTTAGTTCAAAAGCTTTACTTAGTTGTCTTTAAAGATCCTTGTTTTTACTTAGGAGATAAGTTATGATCACAAATTATAGACACTGAAAAGTAGAACCTTACCTGGAGAACAAGTCAGAACCCATATACTCTCCTTCCTAACCGTGAAATGCTTTACTTAAATAATCTGAGAATGAAATTTATTAACATTTTAAGTCTATGACTATTATGGATGAGAAAACATTGGGAATAATTGTCTTTCTCAGAATCCATACTCTTTAAGCCATGATTATATTTCACAGTTTTAAGTGTGATTAGGATGATCATATTTTCAGTGTTAGATTCTGAAAACTGAGAAAATACCTTGACTTATCCAACAGTCCATAGAAGTAGGATATGTATTATTCTTCTTTATTTAGGATCAGAAAAATGAGTTACATTCATGTTTTTTTCCATTATATTGAAGTTTAAGGCTATTTCATTCAATCAGTTACCAGGTTCTTTTTTTTATACACACTTTAGAATGAGAATTTTCACTCATATTATTGCAAAAAGTATAATCAATGTCTGAAAATTTCACATAAAACCTATTTGTGAAAAGGTTTCAGTATTAAAAATACTTCATTTTGTAAATGGAGAGTGGATGTTAAGTACTCTCACTATAAAATAATTCTCTTTGATAATACATTTCAGAATAGGTTTCATCAATTCATAATGTCTAAAATTATACAATTCTTCCAGGGACAGGTTGTTCACATTTGTAATCCTAGGTACTCAGGAGGATGAAATTTGAGGATCATGTTTTGAAGTCAGCCTATTCAGTTAAGTCTGTGAGATTCTTATCTCTAGTTAACCACCAAAAAGTCAAAAATGAACCTTTGGCTCAAGTGGTGGAGTGCTATCCATGAGCAAAGAGGCTCAGGGACAGTGCCCATACCCTGATTTCAAGCCCCAGGACAAGCACC